ACTCGGAGGCCGCAGAGGACAGCGGCTTCTCCCGGGGCACAGAGGGCATCATGGCCGCTGTCCGGACCCTGGGGGCCTGGGGCCCAGCCCTTTCCAATTCCAGCAGCCGCCAGGGCAGAACCCCGAGAAGCTCGCCTCCCGGTGGCTGACCCCCCAACCCCTCACCCCGCAGGGCCCACGGGTCGCCCGTGCCTGCCTCAGGCCAACTGTCCCAAGGGCCTCAAGTGTCCCTTGCTGTGGCCTTGGAGACGCCAATGTCCAGACCCCACCCCACGCCTGTCGGATGCCCCAAGGAGTGCCTTCCCTCTCCCTCCCGAGCCTCACCCTCTCACTCTCTGGTCCCTTTTCTCCCTTGGCTGGGATGTCACCTCCCACCTTCCCATTCCCCCCTGCAGGGGCCGGGGCCACCAGCACCCCCAGAAAATCCAATCCGTTAACCCCCTTCTCAATGTCTGCGGCCACCCCCAGGGACCCCTCCTGGAGGCTCTGAGAGGGCACATTCCTGCCCAAGGGCGCACAGCCAGGAAGGGCAGAGCCAGGCTTTGAACCTGGTTCAAAATAGCCTATTCCTCCAAAGTCACAGCGTTTGGTTCCTCCAGACCGTCCTCACTCAAGTGGCAGGTGACTCGCCGGGAGTGGCCGGCAGGCCTGGAGGCTCGCGGGGTGGGGCGTGGACCCTACACCCAGAGGTGGCCGCAAGCATGTTTGCACCAGGCTTGCTCCCGGCGGGGAGGCCTCTTCCTCCAAGGTCACGGCCCCTACCCCTGGAGGCACGTCTCTGGCCTGGCCCTGGCCCGCGGTTCGCTGAGTGACCTCAAGCAGGGCAGCCCCTTCTCTGAGATCTCCTGGCCCTCTGGCCTGTCCCCCTCTGTCGTGACACGAGGGAGCCTCGGGCCAGGAGGTGGCCTGGCCCAGGCGTCCCTGGCCTGGCCACCAGCTGCCTGCAGCCCACTGGCTGGGTCTGTCCTCCCCAGGGTGGGTAGAGCAGGCCACACCGGCTGGCAGAGATCGGGACAATGACTTCCTTGATTTCGGCTTCTTTCTTTCTCCTGCCTGGAAGCTTGACAGTGGCCCTGGCCCTGGGCGGTGGGATGGCTGTCCCTGCGTCCCCTGCCGACCCGTCTCCATCCAGCGGGTGACACACACGGCCCTGTTAAAGCCTGAGTCAGGCCAGGCTTGGTGGCTCAGCCTGTTATCCCAGCACTTTGGGAGGCCGAGGCGAATGGACTGTCTAAGCCCACGGGCTTGAGACCCGCCTGGGCAACTTGGCGAGACCTCGTCTCTACAATAAGTCAAAAAATTAGCCGGGCGTGGTAGCGCTCACCTGTAGTTCCAGCTACTCGGAGGGCTGAGGTGGAAGGATCGC